TATGGGTCTTACAAAAAATCAAACATCAAATGCAATTCAACTTCAAGTTGATGCTGATGGAAAACCCAAATTTGATGCTATTGTTAAACAAAATGTCAAAGGCAGTAAAGTAAGTTTTACAATTTCTTGTTTTATATTCAACCTATTTTTTAATGTTTGTTAGATTGTTTATTCAAATTTTGTGGATTTATTGCCTAAAGAAGTTCGTGAAGATGATCCAAGTCTACAAAAACCATCTAATGAAGACTTAAAAGAAGTAAATAATTCTATAAAGATATTTAATTCACAGTAATTTCTTATTTTTCTTTCTTTTTTTTTAAAGAAAACAGAAAAAACACGTCAAGCACTCGAAGCTCTCGTATCATCTAAAGTATCAGCTGCTTTACCTGTTCAACATGCAGAAAAACAAGCACCTGCTCAATATATTCGTTACACACCTTCGCAACAAGGAGCTGCTTTTAATTCTGGTGCTAAACAACGTATTATTCAAATGGTTGAAGTTCAAAAAGATCCTATGGAACCACCTCGATTTAAGTAAGTAAACAAAAATAAATAAATAAAACAATTATAAATTATATTTCTATTTAATCTATTAGAATTAATAAGAAAATTCCTCGTGGACCTCCAAGTCCTCCAGCACCAATTCTTCATTCACCAACACGAAAAGTTACTGTAAAAGAACAACAAGATTGGAAGATTCCACCATGTATATCCAATTGGAAAAACGCCAAAGTATGTGTTTTGTTTTTATTTTAGTTACTTTACTATGACAAAGTTTGAATTCTTTTAGGGTTATACTATTCCACTTGATAAACGTTTAGCAGCTGATGGTCGTGGTCTTCAAAGTACACATATCAATGAAAATTTCGCTAAACTTGCTGAGGCTTTATATACAGCTGATCTAAAAGTGAGATTTATCTTACGAATCGAGGAAAGACTTTGTCTTATTTTTTCTCTCCTTGTTTTTAGGCTCGTGAAGCAGTAGATATGCGTGCTAAAGTAGAAAAACAAATTGCTAAAAAACAAAAAGAAGACAAAGAAGAACGATTACGTGAATTAGCTCTTCATGCTCGAACAAATCGAGCAGGCATTCGTCCTGTTGGTAAGTTATTTATTAATTTACTTGACAATAAAAAAAAACTATTTTTTTTTGTCTTTTCTTCTTTCTTTTAGATAAGAATGATGATCAAAGTGCTGAACGAGATGAAATTCGGCAGGAAAGACAAAAAGAACGACAACGTGCTGCTGCCCTTCAACGAGCTGGAGGAGATAAACGGTACTTAGCAAATAATCAGCGTTAAAATTGTTATGCTCTCGTTTTTTTTTCTCCTCTTATATTTTAGAAATCGTCCAAAAGAACGTGATATTAGTGAGCAAATTGCGTTAGGTGTACAAAGCGCAAGTAATACAGGTGTTCAATATGATCAACGTTTGTTTAATATGTCAGCGGTAAGATATGTTTTTGTTTTTTTATCAATAATTAAAAATTGTTTGCTTTTTATTTGTAGGGTTTTGGTAGTGGTTTGGGTGATGAAGAAGCTTATAATGTATATGATCAACCTTGGAATTCATCAACAGCTGTTGCTTCTCAAATTTATAAACCAACAAAAACAACGAAAGATAATTTTGAAGATACTGAAGCTTTAATTAATGCTTCCAAACGGTTCGACTTTTTTTCTCTTTTCTTTATTTATTAAGAGTCTGAATGGTATTGTTTATTTAGATTTGAACAAGAACGTGGCTTCAAAGGAGCTGATCGAGCAGCAGCACGTGAGGGTCCTGTACAGTTTCAACGTGAAGAAGATCCATTCGGTTTAACTGATTTCTTGAAAAATGTTCGACATGGTGGTACAGGTAGTTCAGCTCCGTCAGCTAATCCATCATCAGCTTCATCGTCAAAACGTAGTAATGCAGATGATCGAGAAGAACGAAGTAGTGAAAAACGTCGCAAGAAATAAATTCATCTTATTTGATTTTTGTATATTATGTCTCGTTATTTCCTGATTGTTTTTTGGTTGTTCTTTATCTTTCTAATACTCTTCAAGTTGTTTAACATGTGGAGGAAAAGACACATTCCTCATGTGATTTCTCTCATTATTACTAGCAGTTTTTTGTCTTGGCCCCCGTTTGTCTGTACAACGTTTTTCGACTGAAATAAATGTAAAGCTGCATAAATGCTCATGATCATCGGCTATAGTTTTGCTTGTATTTGATAAATTGTTATATCTGGCACATATTCAATTTAAGTGAAATATATTCATTAATGTGTTAAATTTTTGAAATTGAAATAGTCCTTCAATTGTAAACAAATTGGTTGTGATTTATGTAGACCTTCAGAAGAAGGACCAAAATAATGAATCATTTATGATATCAGATTGTCATAACCAACAACATTTACGTAAAGAAACATGAGACAACAAAAAGGTATAAAATACTGTATATATCAAACAGCAAGGACACAAAAATGAATGATAGAACAAAGAAGGAAAAGGCTGAATTTTTTAAGTGTCCGGATTATAAATGTTTGCCGTTGATTACTCGATTTTTTTACACTGTGAGGTAATAGATTTGAGTTACTTCTGGCAATTCTACTCTTCTGTGCTATTTAACAGAAGGACAATCTTATGTTTCAGCCAGTAGAATTGATTAAATTTAAACTAAGGACCAAGAAATGAAAAACTCAAGTGAATTTTATTTTTCATTTATCTAGAAATGACTTAATAAGCTGATTAAAAATATAGTTTTTATTTCAATTGGATCAGTGTTTAGTGAAAATGGTGAACTTACGAGTAAAGTCAACTTAACAATAAAAAACAAATACCATCATTTTTCGAAACTTCTCAAGGTTTTCTTATATATATATTTTTTTTTTCGGTAATAACTATGGGTATTTTATTTTAATTCAGCATTAAAAACTGAGTTTAAAAATATTATTTGATTGTATTTTAAGTTAATAACGTTAAAACATTCTGTCTAATGCAGATAGTTTAAGCATATATCTTTCAACCAAAGGTCGTATTCGTTTAGTTTCAAATCAAGATTAATTACAAGGATTATTTTCAAGCACTTCATTTCAGTTGGATATGTGATTAATCAGTCTTTATTCAAATAAAAATTGTCAGTCTTTCAGTACTACTTACTAAAATTAAAATGAATCGGTTAGTAGAATGCCTTCATGTGTTAATTATCTCCTTTCTAGGATTTAGTAATTGCTTACCTATTTGTCTTATATTTTGATTTTGTATAGTCGAATATATGTGCTGGCTCAGGTTTTGATTCAGCTACGAAAACAGTACAATAATTATAGTGGATTCTCAATAAGAAACAACTAACACGTGGAGCCTTTTGTTAACAAACTCGTTGTCGATATTATTCAACAATACTAAAAAACTGAGTCTTAATTAAAGCAAATAATGATTAATCATCCACTCTACTCTAATAAAATACTTAAGTCATACTTATAATTAATCTCGACTTGAAATCAAATAGGTATAATATAGAATATGAGGAGAAAGTAGAAAAGCAAGAGTTGTATCTAGGTATGTAATTCAGAATATATGCTAATGAGCATTTTTGTAAATTTATCTCGTTTTTCCTAAGAATAAATTGAAACTAAAAATCTTGTTTCATTAGAATCACTAAAGTTCGAAACTCAAATGTACCTTTGTAGGCTTTCCTAGATTGTCTTTTATTATTAAGAAAATTGATTTTTATACATTCCGATAATAAAATCGTACATATAATGCGAAAATACTTTGCTATTTACAAAACATAGTTTCGCCATAGCTAAAGTTTTGAACAAAATAAATGGCATATATGAAATCAGCACGAAAACTATGTCAGTTCATTTATATTTGAGCAAAATGTTTTTCACAAAAAAATGCATGTCGAATAAAGCGTAGACAAAATTTAGGAAAAAAATGAGGAGGCAAGGAATACGTTTACTTTTCGTTTATTGGAACATTTTGGCTGAAATACAGATGATATAACATTGTTTTGTTGCGTTGATCTTGAATATACAATTGATTTTACTTTGAAATTGAACAATGATGATACAAACTAGTGAGTATGACAGCATTTTTGACAAGTTTACTTGCTTTCTCTACGGTTGTAATTACATAAGCTTCAATTTTATTGACAATAAAATAGTAAGCATTTTCAATTCATTAAAAGATAAATGAAAAATAAAACTCATCTGAATTTTAAACTTTCTACCTTTTTGTTTTATGTTTTACTGAGTAGAATCTAGCAAATTCATATTGTATCAGCCTACGAGAGGCATAGCATTACAAGACGATTATTTTATGGAAAGATCTGTTTTGAAAAACTTCTGGTTCTCAGTGATTATGTTGATTGTAATCAGTTGTTTCTAGCCTGGATAACACCAACATATTAGTCTTACTAGTTATCCTGCAGAAATTGCAGTGCTCGCCAATTTCAACGTAGATTTGAAACGAACTTCAATGATTCAGTTAGTCGCGACATCTAAACCATTTGTTGAAGAATTGGTCGAACAGATTCTCCTATGTAGATTTATAAAAGTGCACTTTAAGGGCGTTTGTTGGGATCTTTATATATACGATACAGTCCTTTTTTCTTCTGTTCTTTGAATCTATCAATGCACTGACATGGTATCGCACTACAACGCTTTCACTCAGTGCTTCACATATGTTTGTGTAAACTCAAGAAAAACGTTCTTGTAGGGCATTTTTCAATGGTATTTTAATGTGTTTCATACATCACTCTTTTCATTCCAGATAAAACATAATTTTATTAATTATTTCTGTGAAACATGTCGTCTTCAACAATCACCATTGGTAATTATTTACTTCGACGATTGAAATCGTTAGGTATTGACATTATTTTCGGAGTGCCTGGTGATTATAATTTGGTATGGTATCTCTAATTTCTGTAACTATTTCTTATCTAAATTTGGTTGCTCTTGCTTTTCTTCTAGCAATTTCTTGATCAGATCGAAGGTACAATTCTATATAAAAATCATGCTTATTAATACTATTCGTTTCGATACAGATTTTGACGGCATTCAATGGGGTAATAACTGCAATGAACTGAACGCATCCTATGCTGCAGATGGATATGCTCGTATTCGAGGCATCGGCGTAAGTTAATCTACATATTTATATGTACATAATATTCTACCGGTTTATTTTTCAATGTATGTATGCAGGCTCTCGTTACAACATTCGGTGTCGGTGAACTCTCAGCTATAAATGGTAAAATAGTATTGAATTATATTTTTTGAAAATACGTTTTTATATCGAAAGGTATTGCTGGTTCATATGCTGAAATGGTACCAGTGGTACATATTGTTGGAACACCTTCAATTGCATCGCAGTTCAGTGGTGCTATTATTCATCATACACTTGGTAATAATGATTTTCGAGTTTTTGCAAATATGTATAAAGAAATTACAGTAAATAATTTATTTTAAATATTATGTAAGTATTTATAAATATTTTCATAGATTGCTCAAACAAATTTAACAAGAAAAAATGCTGTCGAAGAGATTGATCGTGTTCTTACTCAATGGTATTATTCTTCATTATCACAAAACAATCGTAGATAATTAATTTTCATGTTTAGTTGGCTTAAATGTCGACCAGTTTATATTGGTTTTCCTGTAGATCTTAGTAGCTATGAAATAAATATTAATCCATCATTAATTAAACCACTTAATTTATCTATTACATGCAATCCAAAAGATGATCATCAAGCAGCACTTGAAACTGTGCTTAATCTTGTAATAAAGGCTGAAAATATAATTGTTATTGTTGATGCGTAAGAAATATAATTATCTTAATTTTCATTCATTCATCGTCATCATAATATTATTATTTTTATCATTATTAGATGTGCTATTCGACATGAAATGATGGAAATAGTTATAAGATTTATCGAACATACTCAATTACCTGTTTATGTAACACCTATGGCTAAAGGTAGTATTGATGAAAATCATTTACAATTTCGTGGTGTTTTTGCTGGAAATTCTTCAACAGAACGAGTACAAAAAGAAGTTTATAGTGCAGATCTTATTCTTTCTATTGGCTCATTGAAGACCGATGTTAATACAGGTGGCTTTACGTATCGATTATCAAAGAAAAAGACTATTGGTAAATTTTCTTTTATAAAATTATTTATTAATTTTATTAATATATAGAATTTCAAACATATCATACGAAAGTTTTCTATGCTATATATGATAAAGTTGATATGCGTGAACTTTTACCTGATTTAACTGAACATTGGCCAATCGATATTATTCATCCATATAATGGTAAACAATATGATATTGAAAAGCCAATATTAGATCCTAAGTATCAAAATGAAATTCAGCATGAATATTTTTGGAATAAATTAACAGATTTTATTCCAAAAAATTCAATTATTATTGCTGAAACTGGAACAGCTGAATTTGGTGAATTTTAATCGAAATAAATATTATTTTTAACACAAATTTATACAATATTTTAGGTGTTTTTAATATGCTTGCACCGCGAGGTGTGACATTTTTAACACAAATGTTATGGAGTTCCATCGGTTATTCTATTGGTGCTGCTTTAGGTGCAGCATTAGCTGGAAAACATGAAAATCGTCGAGTATTTCTTTTAGTTGGAGATGGTTCTTTTCAAGTAAAAAATTGAAAGTTGAGAAAAAAAAATCAAAGTAATAAACTTTTCTTTTAGGTTGCATGCCAAGAAATATCGTCTATGTTACGATTTAAAACTAATTTAGTTATTATTTTATTGAATAATGATGGTTATACAATTGAAAAACTTCTTCATAATCCTGATTGTGCTTATAATAATATTCAAATGTGGCGTTATTATAAAAGTTTTGAATATTTTGGTGATGGATTAAAACAAAATCGAGAACAAGCCATCACTGGTTTTGCTGGCATAGTTAAAAGTCAAGATGAATTTGAAAACGCTATGACACAAATATTAAAAGAAACTGATAAAATTCATTTTGTCGAAGTTGTTATGCCATCAATGGATGCACCAAAAAGTTTAATAATTACTATTGAAGGTATGAGAGAATACAAGAAACATGAACGAGAAGTACAAGAATAATTTTCAATAAACTAAGTCAACAGCTACTAATACTTTTAAACATTTCTTTGTCATCTTCCCTATGGTGAATCATGTTTTTTTTTTTATTAACCTCTTTAATATTGTTTTAGTAAGTTATTTTGTTCTATTTTGATTAATAAATCAATCGTAGTGTGGGTGTGGATGTGTGTAGAAAGAAGATCTCGAATACATTCACATCGACACCCACTCCCACTCTCCCATATACTCTTACTCATATCCACCACCAACAGCCTACAATCAATTAATCGTCGATGAAGATGATGTGTTGGCAAACATAGTTTCATGATTTCATAAGGCATTCGAATCGATTCTTTAAAACTAAATTCAACTTTTTCATCATCAAATACGAAACCATTGTACAATCGATTGATTCTTAATTTCGATTGCGTGTTTTGATTGCCATGAAGCCATTTTGACTGGAAGACGAACGATAATATCACCATTTTTGATTTCTAATTCAGCCATATAGGTTATTTTGATGATGACTTCATTGTTTGCTGGTAAATTGCCAATAGCCACAATAAATACTTGAGTTTGCCCTTGATACATCAAATAAGCACCATGAGGGTGTGGGTGTGGATGTGTGAGTACGGATGAATCTAGAGAACTTCCACACCCGGCCCACGAAAATTGGTCGATGTGAAGAATAGTCGAGAAATTCTTCATAAAAAACAAATGAAAAAAAATTTTTTCAACAAGCTCGACAACAGTGTCCCATAGCTCCATTACAATTAATTTCGATACAATTTCATGAAAATACATGAATCATTTTTCACGTCGATCAATTTTCGTATTGACCAATTTTTGCTTTCTCGTACTATTCAATGTACCTCGACAATGGTATCCATATATTCCTCTTGCTTGTTGGAGTCCTTCAAAAGCTACCGATAGATAAGATCAAACTTCACAGATGGAATCGTACCCACAAACAAAAATGTACCCGCATATAAGAGACACTTACACAAAGCGTTTTCTATGGACGACAATGGCTTCATCAAACGAAGAATTAGTCAAGACCGAAATACTTGAGCAAACGAATAATCTATTATCAAAACGTTACTTTGGTTTAGAAAAGAATGTTTGGTAAAAGAATTTTTTATATACCAGTAGATAGAACTTATTCATAAACGATCTAATCGATGTTTTACTTGTTCTGAATGTAAATAAGACTGAACTAATCATTAAGAATTGATCGATTCGAAAGCTTTCAACTTCAATTCAATTATTCAATAATTGAATTGAAGTTTCAAGTTTGACAAATGTGATTTTTTTAAGGCAGTAAATTGAGTATACAGGAATTACACCACGACTAAAATTATTTGAAATAGAGCGTATGAAAGAGAAAGCACCGTTTTAACAAATCGGTTACTCATAATTAATTTCCTGCATGGCATTCAGCAACAGTGTATCTTATTTCAATATACACTGTCGATTTTGAAAATTTTCTCCATTATCACAGAGAACACGCTGGCAAAGTGACCTTAATCATTTCTTAATAACTGCTTTGAAACTTTCAATTCGTATATCACTTATCAGAATACAATGTCGTCTTTAATTCTATACTTAGAAAAATTCGTAATGTAACGAATGCAATAGAGAGGATTACTCTTGAAAAATAAACGCTAATTTTATGCATCCTAGCTTAATTGTCGTGTCTGGAACAAGTTGGTTAATTACTTTTAAACAAAATTCACTATGTCATAAATCGCTCGTTTATCAATTGCTTTCGATTCGAAACTGTGACTATTATGTAAGTTTTAACGAACTATAAATATACTGAAATATGATGAGATGGTGTGGGTAAAGATGAAGAGAAGATGCAAGTCAACACCTACACACCCATACCCTTAGTCAATAAAGTTTGGAAAATGCAACTGTAAGATATTACAATATCAAATGGTAGTCTGTCACCATCACTTAACTAGAGAATATCTAACGAATAACATAATTTCGAAACAGTTCGAAAGATGAATTTTTTTTAGGGCTGAATTTATGACATTAGCTGTGCAACATAAAGCTGTTAACCTTGGTCTAGGCTTCACAGATTATGAACCACCACAATATTTTCTGGACATTTATGATGAAACAATTCTAGAGCATAATGTATTCTTACATCAATATACTCGTGGATTTGTAAGTTGGATCTAAATAAAAATGTTTCTTCAATCTGCATTGATAAATTAGGGCCACCGACGATTAGTTGAAGCGATATCAAATCTATATTCATCATTTTTCAACCGACAAATTGATCCATTCAATGAAATTCTTGTAGTTGGTGGAGCTTATGCATCATTATTCAATGCCATTCATGGTCTTATTAATACTGGTGATGAAGTAAACATTGAAAAATTGACTTTCGAAAAGTTTTAAAGATTCAAAATATTTATAGGTAATTATTATTGAACCATTTTTTGATTGTTATGAACCAATGGTTCGCTCAGCTGGTGGCACTGTTCGGCATGTACCACTGCGACCAGTAATGTTGTAATGATTTCTTTGTTTTTAATTTCTTCAATTATTTATTGTAGAAACCAGAATCAATTATGCAAGATATATCATCGAGTTCAGATTGGATACTTGATGAAAATGAATTAGACTCAATGTTTAATTCACATACACGTCTCATTATATTAAATACGCCAAATAATCCTCTTGGAAAAGTATACGTTTTTCATTCAGAAAAAAAAAAACTATACAAAAATTTCATTTTTTTTTTCAAGGTATTTACACTCGAAGAACTTAAACACATTGCACATTTATGTCAAAAACATAATGTTATTTGTATTTCGGATGAAGTTTATGAATGGATAACATATGATAATAATAAAAAACATATTCGTATAGCAACATTACCTAATATGTGGCAAAGAACATTAACAATAGGAAGTGCAGGTAAAACATTCTCATCAACAGGTCTCAAATTAGGTTGGACAATTGGACCACAATGTCTGATTCGTTTATGCCAAATTGTTCATCAAGTAATTTAGTCTAAGAAATTTGTATTTAAAAAGGGTATACATATGATTTATTAGCATTCAGTTTTCATATGTCCAACGTTATCTCAAGAAGTTGTTGCACGTTGTTTTGAATATGAATTAAAACGTTTAAATTCTGCTGAAAGTTATTTAAATTCAGTATCAACTGAATTTCTTCAAAAACGCAATCAATTCGCTGAAGTTTTAAAAGAATGTGGAATGAGACCAATTGTACCTGATGGAGGATATTTTATATTGGCTTATTTTTCTCAATTCGGTTTGTTTTTAAATTGTATTCTTATTTTTAAGAAAGATTATTTTTTATATTTACATATTGAATAGCCAATGATGATCGATTTCAATCAGAAGATAATAATAAAAAAGATTTTAAATTTGTTCGATATTTAATAAAAGAAAAGGTAATTGAATTAGAAAATTGCAAAAAAAAATGATTTTATTTTGTTTTAGCAACTTGCAGCAATTCCTGCTTCATTGTTTTATACAAAAAATCATCAATATTTAGGAGAAAATTATATTCGATTCTGTTTTGCTAAAGTAAATTGAATCAAAAAAATTCTTTTCTTATTCATATTCTGCATTGTAGAAAACCGAAACATTGGAAAAAGCAACTAGAATTCTTCAAACACTAAAAATTCATTAGATTAATTTACTTTTTATTATAAATCATTATGATGCGAATGGTATTATTTCAGTTTTATTTTACATTATAGACAGAAATTTTTTTTTTTAAATTAATGTGTTTCAATCATATCATCACGAAATTATCACTTAATCAAAGATAATATTAGAAAATCATTCAATAAATGATAGAAATATACAAAAAATATATAGGGTATGGCTGGGGCATGGGCGGACTGGCATAGGGGCGAGAGGGGGCAATTGCCCCCCCCCCCCCCCCACAAAATATTTTGCCCGGGGCCCAAACAGCAGGGCACAGAAAAAAGCTAGTTTCGGTGGAAGAGTGGGGAGGTATGT